CAAATGTGCGTTTTGCAGCGTCCTACGTAATACGTTACGCTGCGTCGTCACCAGGACGCTGCAAACAGTAGTTGCCGGGGAAACGAGACGCTAAGTACACGACAAACGCCAGTGAAGCAGTGTGTAAGTGAGGGAAATTCACAACTTTCCTCAAAAAAACCGAGGAAAATGACGCGCCTTTGTATCTGTGAGATGTGCAGCTGTGGGTAAGAGTATTTTTTAAATGTGTTTGTTTGTTTTTGTAGTAATATTTGAAGCCCGAGAAGGATTTTTGAATAATTGATGGGTAAATGGTTCGAATATCAAGTAACGTTAACGTAAAATGGAACAAATGCGGAAAACAAACCTTGACGGACATATTAATATTACATTTATTTTAATACCTTTTAATAATGGTTTGGAAATCAAAAACAAATAAATTACGATCATAATTTTGCAATAATTGATAAAAAAAAATGTTTTATTTTGTTTTATGTTATTTTCCATTTTATATCATTGCATAATTCATAGGGAAGTAGTGAAAAAAATGTCAGGTGGTCAATTTAATTTAATTTAATTCTTTTCAGTTTCAAGCAAATGCAAGTCCTCAAAACACTTGTAGTGCAAAGAAAATAATATAAAGAGAATCAAGTGTATTTATGTGTGTAGGATGGCGGCTTTAGTCAGTGGCAGAGTTTGTTGTATAGTTGTTGCCCTGGACTCCACAAACATGTTCAGTAAAAGTGCCGCGGAAACTTGAGAAAAATCTCTTGGTGAAAGACATATTAATGAGTTTATGTCTTCTCAAAAGTATCATTTTATTTTAAATGGCTCCTCTGTCGTAAATGCTTCTCCATTATCTTCAGCCGCCACCGTTGCACACACCAGCCCACGGCACTTTACAAGAAAGGCAGTAAGACTAATGTGTTGTCAGAGTACTCAGAGAAGTATCCCGCCTATAAAGGGCACACGCGGCCCAAGAGCGTCAAGCCCCAACAGCAGTATAAAGCTCATCAGGACACGATGGAAGGAACAACCACCTTCAGGTACATTCTGGGAATTAATGGCTAATCTTTAGTCAAATAATTGACACAGTTGTATACATACATCTACTCACAAGGATTCGATAAGTGTTTTTTACATGCAAAGTGGCAGCACACTAGATGTTAGAACGGCTCCTCTATGTCTTTCTATAGGCTTCAGATCATCATATAATCTTTTTTGTTTTCTCATTTTCTCAGGACAGACTATGTCCCGTATGTGGTCACCCATCGCCCTGAGAAGCCGCATGCTGAGTACAAGCCCAAGCCTGGAGAGATTGATTTAGGAACGACCTATAAACAAGACTTCAACCCATATGAAGTGCAACCATTTGTTCCTACACGTCCGCAAGAGAGAGTATATACCACAAATGCAAAACTGGACACCGTACCCACCTATAAAGGTAATGAGAATCTAGGTCAGTTAGGTCATGTGATGGTTTCTGAGCATGCAGTTTCAGAATACACACACTGAACAACTGGAACATTTTTTATTAACAGCCTTATCTAAGTATCTGCTGTTACTTATATTAAATCAAGTATTTTTAAATTTAAATGAATTTATAATCAACAACTTATAAGGAACATCATAAACACTAGTGTTCAAAAGTTTGGGGCAAGTAAGATTTTATTTTTGTATTATTTTTCAAGAATCCCTAAGGATGCATTAAATTGATCAAAAGTGACAGTAAAAGAATCCTGAAAAAAAAAAAGATTTCCACAAAAATACCAGATAATAAGAAGAAATGTTTCTTGAGCGGCAAATCAGCATTAGAATGATTTCTGAAGGATCACGTGACACTGAATCTGCTGAAAATTCAGCTTTGCCTCAAATTACATTTCAAATTCTATTCAAATGGAAAACAGTTATTTTAAACTGTAATAATATTTCACAATATTACTGTATTTTGATCAAAACAAATGTAGCCTTGGTGAGCATAGAAGACCTATTTTAAAAACATAAAAAAATCTTACCGACCCCAAACATACAGTAGTATATCATAAAAGCCAACAATATTTTCAGTACACAGTACAAAAGCTAAAATGCATAAAAAGAAGTTATTACAGTAAATGCTTTTGTTTGTTAGTAAAAGTTTTGTATGATGTTTTTAAAGAGGATTTTCGTCAGTGGGAGATCAGCAGACGGGAATTGACTAAGCCTGACACACCGTATCAACCCCCTGTTACAAAGTTTGGGAATTCCACGACATTCCAGGACGATTTCGTCCACAGAGGCCTAGTGCCACGTGAGAGCTACAAGCCCCCTAACATAGCCAAGCTATCCGATACTCCTTTTGAAAACATGACCAGCAACAAGCTCTCCTATGTTCCACATGCTCTAGAAGCCCGGTACGTTAAACCGCCAATAGAATACAAACCCAACAGTCAACCTTTCCAGGACCTCACCACCCATCGACAAGACTATCAAGGCCTGCCAAATCCGCTGACCAAAAGCTGCAAGCCTGAGCCGCTCAAAGTGGCCTCCAACAAGCCCTTCCAGGGCAGCACGGAATTCCGTGACCGTTTCCAGCAGTGGCCCGTATCCCTCCGGCAGGTGCAGAAGTCGGTGGAGTATATGAGTCCAACAGAGCACATGGACCTGACTACCACCTCACACACCGACTACATCAAGCACCAAATCCAACCCTTCATTTCCGCCAAACCCTTTTCACTTCCCACTAAGTCCTCCAGGCCCTTTCAGGGCAGCACCACCATGAGAGACGACTTCCAGCCGTGGGCAGCTCCCCGTCAAAGCATGATCCGGAAACAAGAGGAAATCCAGCGAGCCAGTGGGAAAATGGAAGATCTGACCACCTTCAGGGCTCATTTCATTCAGCATGAAGCTCAGCCTAGTTTCAGCTTCAAGCCCCAAAACGCACCACTGCGGACCGACGCTCCCCTACAGAACGACACCATGTACCGTACAGAGTTCACGCCCAAGAAGATCAGCGTGTGTCCAGCCAGTTTTGAGTCTCCGCCAGGGTTTGTTTTCGATAATTACGACGATCGAGGCCACCGCTTCTTCCGCAAGATGATGTCTGCTGACAAGATTGAGACGCCAAAGGAAATGGTCTTGACAGCTTAAGAAAGTCATCATGTTGTTTCTATAAAAGGAAACTAGCATACAATATGATCTCTCTAAATTATTGTAATCCTACGGGGAATCGTAATTAATTATGGTTACAGGTCAGTGGATTGAACTATATTTCATAAAACATTAATTATGCATAGTTTTAAATCATAGCTAGTTTAAAATTTTCAATAGGATGAAACTGCAGTACAGTTGTAGGATAAAAAAATATGCAGTACTATAATATGTCATAAATCAGATTTTAGCAATACCAATTAATTAGTTCAATATCAAAATCACTTCTACACTACCATATAAAATTTTGCGGTAATTAAAAAAAAAAAATGAAATTAAATGTTTTATTCAGCAAGAGCACATTCAATTATTCAAAAGTGACAACATAGACATTTATAATGTATAAGGATGTCTATTTCAAATAAATGCTGTTCTTTTGAAGAATCTTTTAAAAAATGGATCACGGTTACCACAAAAATATTAAGCAGCACAACTGTTTTCAACACTGATAATAATCAGAAATGTTTCTTGAGCAGCAAATCAGCATATTAGAATGATTTCTGAAGGATCATGTGACACTGAAGACTGGAGGAATGATGCTGAAAATTCAGCTTTCATCACAGGAATAAATTACATTTTAAAATGTATTGAAATAGAAAGTAGTTGTTTTAAATTGTAATAATATTTCACAATATTACTGTATTTTTTATCAAATAAATGTGGTCTTTTGAACAACAGTTAACCACATAAAACACGTTTTTTGCAATACACAATAATTGATTGTTTTAACCACAATATAGAATACAAAGATCAATTATTCTAAACTGAGTGGTAAAACTGTATTTATTGTTTTTATATCACATAGACTGTTTGCAATATTGACATGTACAGAACCAAAACCGGCGCTTCCTCCACATACTGTAGCAATAAAATGCAATGAATTAAATTAATGGATAAATTTGGTGAGTGGCTTATGTACAACATTTGTTCATTACTTAAAATGCATGCATAAAGGCCAGTAGGAAACCATTATATTAGAGATATAGATAATTCACTTCAAGTGCTATAAGTACGTAGGTCTGTGTTGGGTTTAATCTTAAATATGGATTATAAAGACAAACTAAACCAAGTAAGAAAATAAAATCCAAACTTTCTACACTCAATGTACAATATTGCACTTAAAAACACATTATATACAAGACATATTTTACAATGCAGCACATTGGTTGAACACAAAACATACATCTAAAAGACGGCTGGAGAATGTGACTTTTATGGCACATGCCATTTCAATCAGTCAACGGGTCATTCATTCTACGTCCATATTAAAACATCATTATTTAATATTAGAGTCAACATGAAAACAAAATGGAGCCTTTTTACTTACTTAAAACATGCTACTGTGTTTGTCTTTGTAATGTTTATCAAAATATAATAACTTTAGCTCACTTCCACCAAAGAATAAAAAATAAAATGTTCATTGTGACTTTTTATCTCAGTTTATATCTCACAACTCTGAACTTTTTTGTAATATAAACTCAGAATTATGATATAAACTTCCAATTTGGAGAAGAAAACTCTTATTGTGAGTTTATAACTGGCTATTCTGAGAAGAGAAAAAAAGTCCAAATTGTGAGTTGTAATTACCTTTCTTTCTTTTTTTAGACAATATTCCAAATTCGGACTTTTTTCTCCGAATTGTGAGGTTATACTTCACAATTCAGACTTTTCTTCTTAGAATTACTAGTTTATACTTCGCAATTCTGACTTTTTCCTCAGAATTGCAAGAAAAATGTCAGACTTGTGAGATATATACTCAGATTTGATATTTGAAAAAAAAGAACTACTTTGTAAGATATAAACGAGTAAAAAAAGTCAGAATTACTGTTTTTATTTTTCATTCAGTGGTGGAAATAAACTTCCATAAAACTTGCTTCCCTCTGAAACGATTTCTCTTTTCGGCTGGCATCACAAATCCTTCTTACTCCTCTAACTCCTCCCCTCTGACCACCTGATTCCATTTACGAGCCAATCAAATCCTTATAAATACAATAAGCCCCGCCCCACATTGTTCTTGTTGAATGTCCTGTCTGCCTCTGATCAGATTAGAGAAGTAAAATGGGTTGTGACAGCATTTCATGTTGACTTCAAGGTAGGACTCTGACTTAAAAAAAAAAATACTCTTAATACTCCAAGCTGTGTACTACTGATATTATTAGTATCAGTGCATCATGTACACCCAAGAGGCCTTTATATTTCCTTCACGTTGGTGAATGGTCCGATAAGATTTGTCCTCTCATATTCACAAGTAAAAATCTTAAATTAATACACATATAATATCACTTTCAGGGCAAGATCAAATGAGATCTGCAGAGAAAGCTGGTGAAGAGAGAAGTTTCAAATCTCATCAAGTGATTTTCTCTTTGGACTTCTGATGATTGTGGGAAAGCATCCAGTGAAAGTGTAGTCCAGATATATTTTAGTCCATACACTCCAGGTGTCCTTTTTGTTTGTAAGATTGAATAATATGCTGGCTGTGTTACGAGAGACAATCAGGGCGGTGACTGAAAAGGGTGTCTGTTGGTTTGGGTCACTAGGTGGCGCTGGTGTCCTGTGAGCAGGTCTGGCAACAGCGTTGCCGGTACAGATCCACGGTGCAAAGCTTGAGGCGTTTGACCACAGGACAGTAGTGGGTTCTGTCCTTACACTCACCTACAGAAGCACAAATATAAAACAACGCTTATTCAAAATATACGTTTGGAAATCATACTTGTCAAAAGCACAATCCACTCATTAGTTGGCAAACAAATGCAAATTTCAACGTATTAAAAATACAGACAAATAATCAGAAAATATAAGTTATTTACACAAATGAGTTTGTAAACAACAACATTTAAATATGTTTTCGAAAGCAATGAACTGAATTAACTTGGAATGAATTATCTAGTTAAATAAAAAAACGAATTTAAATATGAAGATAAATAAGAATGAAAGTTCGGAGTCTTTTGTTGGTCTTTAATTATTATTATTATAACTATTATGCTTTATTATTCATTGTTATTAATATATTTTCATATAGGTTAAATATCTACTTATCTACTTTATACTCCACAGATCAAATAAAATAAATGAGTTTGTGAACAACAGCATTTAAATGTTTTCCAAAACAATGAACCGAATGAACTATGAATGAATTAACTAGTTAAACAAAAACTAATTTAAATATGAAAAGATAACTAATAATGGCAGTCCTCAGTCTTTTGTTGGTCTTTAATAACAACAACAACAACAATAATAACTATTATTCATTATTAATAATTATTCTTAATATTAAAAAATAAAATTATAAAATAATATAAACAATCAAATAAAATAAGCTGCTGATGTGAGTGCTAATACAGGAGGACCAGGCCTAGAACACTATGTTTTGTGTGTGTTTTGCTTGTTCATTTATGAGTTGTTAATTAATGTTCCCGCCTCCTCCGTCCCGTATCTAACGAATCTTGCTACATACACCCTACAGTAACATATCTGATGTGAAACACCTGCTCCTGTTCCTCTTGCTTTGTCCACCTAGGATCTTGGATTGATTTTTTTTACAAAGATTATTGTGAAATTGTGGGACTTGCTCCAATGACATTAATACACAGAATCGTGGGAAACCAGAAATGCTAACTCAATCACATTCATTTTGTCCTCTGCTACAATTCAAATTCAAGTCTGGTGAACTCTGACCTGCAAATTCACATAGCACAAAGACATTTGAGGATCTAAACGTCACAGACTGACCTCAAGTCAAAGAAAACTAAGCAGTGTTGCTGCTCACAGTAATTCATTTTTTCTCAAAAAGAAGAAGTGTGATATCATATCATGTTCGCTGGGGTGTGAAGCAACATTTCGTTTTCAAAGTCTAGCGTGACCACGGCTTCACACTCTAAAGGTGTTGTTTCATTAAACATTTCTGCACAAGAAACAAGTTAGGTGACACAAAAATGATGTTTCATTAAGTTTCACCACAGAAGAGCGAAGAACAAAAAGCAGACGTTTGGACAGAGAGGATTCCTGAAATGACCGAACTTAAAAAAAAAAAAAAAAAACGAAGAAAAACCTGTGAACGAGAGCGAGTTCTCTTGGGACGTTGTGATAACTTGGACTTCGCGAGTGACGGAACAAGCCAATATATTTGGCCCTCAGGTCGCTAATATTTTCCCTAATAAAACATGAACGCTCTAAAGGTGGCGAACGAGGGCAAACATTCCCCGAACCGTACTGCCGCTCTGCTTTATAACAAGGTGTTATTAGAGACTCACTGCCACAGGAAGTGATGTTGCAGTGTTGCCAGGTAGAAGGCCGCCGTTGCCAGGCGCAGTGCTGGTCGGGGAGGGTTTTCTTGTTCTGCTGATGGATGCATTCCACTCGACGGGACTGGAAGCCGCTGCCACATGCCGCTGTACACGTCCTCCACGGGAACACCTTCCAGTGCACATCACACATCTCAGACGAGCAGTTCCTCACGGATGACGGCCTGAAAGGTGTTGGACAACCAGATCATGAGAAATAACACGTTAACAGAGCTGTGCATGTGAGAATAAGTGATGCTGAATATTGCATAACAAGTCTGGCACCTTTCTTTTGGGTCGCAGGTTTTGGAAGTGGAGTTGCTGAAGTGTCTGCACGAGACGCTTCTGCTCTGCGCGGCCACCGCAGGCCCCAGACATCGACCTGTGCACTGTGAACACGCATAACCATCACAGTAAATATGATGAGGAGGGGAATGAACAAACGCAGCTGCTCTGATGCTAAACAGGCATAAGCTACGTAAAACTGATTATGCGTATCTGGCAAATAACATGACTGTTATATGATGGAAGTGCATATTTGGTATAACTGGTCAGTATTTTTTACTAGTAATTTTATAACTTTAAATGACTTATTAGACTTTTTGCATGAATCATTAAATTATTATTAACTATTAAAATATTTGTAAAAAAAAAAAAAAAATTCAATTCAATTTGATCAATTAAGTTATAAATGACAAATATTTCTAAATTTGAAATATTTCTTAGATTTCTAATTCAAACAAATGCTGTTATTTTGAACTTTTCATATTAATAATTTCCACAAAATGATTAAGCTGCACCAGTTTTAAAGATTGATAATACTAAAAAAATGTGTTGTTTTTTTTGAGCAGCAAATAACCATATTAAAATGATTTCTGAAGGATCATGTGACATTGAAGAAACTGTAGCAACTATTAATATTAAATCTATCTATCTATCCATCTATAAATATTTCATAAATTTATTTGATGAAAAGTATAGTAAAAACAGTAATATTGTGAAATATTACAGTCTAAAATAACTTTTCTGTTTTATATATAATGTATTTAAAGAGCAGGTCATATGGTATTTTAAAGTGTCCTAATATTGTGTTGGAGTCCCCTACAACAGGTTTAAATGCATCTAAGGTCAGAAAACATTGTAATGTTTAATATCAGAGTCATTTGCCAAATGATTTCGAAACGATTCAGTCCAAGCAAGTTTGGAGCAAACCCCTCCCTTCCATAAGCCTACTCTGCTCTGATTGGTCAGCTGGTCAAGCCTGCTGTGATTGGCACAGAGAGGAGTCCTTGAGTAAGTTAGCGAGCGCTACCATTGACAAAGCACCTTTACATAAAACAATAATATAGTGCTCCAATCCGTTCTTATATTAATGACATAAAATACAAAAACACTTATATTCGAATATCGAATATAATATTCGAATCGTGCCCACAGCTAAAGTTTAGCTGCTAAACTGTGAACACTTAAAACAATAATGGTGGATACGTTAGCCGAGTGCTAACGTGACTAACTGATGAAACAATACAGTTTGTAAACCATAATATGTCTACTGTAATGTTTGAAGAACGCCAGACAAAAGACGCTCTGTGTCTTAACTTTTAATCAGAACGCAGAACAGCTGAATCACAGGCACAGCAGCCTAACTAACTCGTTCGTCTCTCCCGCATTAACCCTATAACTGCCGGTGCAGCAAAATAAACAGCAATTTCACAATGATTATAAAGTCTGTGCGCTACACTACATTCTTTATTATTAAACGAAGTAATTAGAACAACGTCAGTCTACATTAATCGACACATTCTTAGGAAACAGTGGGTTCACAGCGAATTATCAGAACGACAGAAATATCGTGCTTTACCTGGAAACCTAAAGCTGCACTAGGTAT